GCGTGAGCAACACCCGAACTTGCCAACCGGAGCTGTTCCCTGCGAAAAGAAAAGCTTCCCAAAACAAGAAAACACCACATGCAAGATCCCGTCCAAGCCAAGATGTGTGGATAATAGATGCGTTCAACCAAAAAGTTAACCGCCTTGCCGTTGCATACAGCACGTGGCGTTGGCGACGCGTCCCTTTTCCATACATTACTCTGCCCGAGGCAGCAGAACTTCTCTTCTCCTTCATGAGACACCTCTTGAGGACAACTTGCTGAGGAACAAGCTTCTTAGTGGATGAAGGCATCCTAAGCATTTCGGAAACTTCGCAAGTCATGCAGGCCACAAATCGAACCGCTAAGACGGCGCGACGCTGGCACTTCTTCATATAATAGCCAGGCACCTACGAGTCATTTTTACTTCTTTTTTTCACGGAAACAACGCAGACGATTACCATCAACTCCACAACACAAAGTATATTGAAAATCAAATCGCTTTCATCATTTCATTTCCTAGCTGTCGCTCACACCGCAATTAAACCCAACCCAGGGATAGCCGTCCGACCGTATCTGTATGTTCCGTACGGATACATCGTTCAAACTCGCCGCGATCCAACAAACTAAATTTCAAGCGCCGCCACGCTGATATAATGGCTTCACGCATGGACCATCTGTCGCAGTCTCTTCTCAATCTTCTGGCGTCCATCTAACGTCTCCCACACATTGTGTGGCGCGTCGTCGACCGTATCCCAATGCTTCAGGTTTCTCGTCAGATGGCTGAAATCTCTCTGCTTGTCCTCCCACTCGCTATCCTTGCGAATATTGACGCCGGAACTGATGACCACCAAAGGCGTATTGGGGTACTGAATGGCCTTGCTGCTAATCACCTCACGCTTGGTGAGCGAATCGGCGACGAGACTCTCCTGCAACTTGGAGAACAGGTACTTTCCACTCTGTCTAGCTGAACGACCCCAGACGCGGTCAGCGCTCGTGCGTCCGCGGAAGATGGCGCCTGGGAGACGTTCGATTCCGAGAGGCGAGAATACGCCGCGAAGCCAGTAGGAGAAGCCTCTGCCGGGGTCCGAAACACGGTGAAGAAGGTCTTCGTGGAGAGGATCGATCAAGAGAAGGCCGTTCACTTCTCTGCCGTGCCGGGAGGAAAAGATTTGAGAGTACACGGAACCGATTCCAGCGCTAGCCAGGATCCAAGGGCCCTTCTCGCCAGCTCGTGCAAGAGCCTCGCTGAGGGCATCAGTTGCCATGCCTGCTGATAGAGGACTGGGTGCTGTATCGCTCCATCCGTAGCCCGGACGGTCGGCGAAGCAGTATCTCGAGATAGAGTCGTTCTTCAGGGCGTTTTGCGCAAATTGCCACAATCCATTCTCGACTGGCAGATCGCCCCCCTCGAAGAAAACGGTGGGGAGCTTGTTGCCCGCGGCATCGGTGCCATTGCCATCGCAGTAGACGTGGATACGGTATTGGTCGCCGTCGACCCAGTACTGCTCGCCTGGCGGGCCGAAACCGGCATCAAGCGATCGCAGAATCAATGTGGCAGTAATAAGGATGATGATCAAAGACAGGATGATATAGGCCACCGTTGAGATGAGAACCTCGGTCCATTCCCAGACTGTACGCCTCGTCTCAACTCGGCCGGTGAGCCTCTCTTCCTCTTCGGCTTTGCCCCACTTCACAGTTCTATCACAAGCAAGCGCCCACAGGCTCACGACAAAAGCCCCTGGGGTGGACTTGTCAGCAAAGTATCAATCACATTAAATGCCAAACTGCTAACTTACAGACGACGCTCGCAACTCCCACTCCAGCCTCTTCGTAACGGTTCTTCTGGACGGCAACGATGAGGATCATGTTGGCGAGAAGCATGATAGCCATGAAGATGGCCAAAACTCGGACCGCCTTGGACGGAGCCGCAAAGAAGACGAGAGTGAACAGCAGCGTAAACAGTGACACACTCGAATAGCTAAAGGCGTAAAACCCGGAGCCGCGTGTATGCATGCCCGGCGGCGTGACGAAAGAGGAAACCAAAGTCAGAGTCCACCAGGTGAACGTGAGAGCCGTGAAGAGGACAGTCAGCCATCGCAGCACGCGCACCGTCCACAGGTTGTACGGAGACACTGCCGGGTCATCGGGCGTCAGGTATTGGCGGTTGTCGCTGTCGAGCCGGTTCGGTAGGAGCCGAGTGTGTTCGTCGGGTTCCCGTGTCGCGTACTCGTTCGATCCTCTTTCCTCTGGAGGGCCAGGTCCATCGCGGACCTCCTCATCGTCGTCCTTTTTGTTCCTTGAACCCCAAAGCGAAGACATGACGGGCGTCTTGTCGAAGCTATCGTCCAAGGCTCGCAGCAAGTGCCACTATTGATATGCAACAGGGTATCTTTCGTAAAATGCAACCTTGACCGAAAAGTACAGAAACCGATGCAAAGAGAGGGAGAATACGAGTGAGCAAGGAGAAAGTTGAGAACTGGGGGAAACACGTACAAGTAAATGATGGCGGTAGTCTGAAGCAGCTAACTAGGCACTAATACTCCCATCCCGCTCACAGACGTCTCAATGACGGCAGGGGGGGGAGGCGAGGGCCCAGAGCTTCATCGAATCGTTGCTGCAACCACCATTGACCAAAGGCCAGAGCTTCCCGGTCATGTACGTCATCCTCTGCAATTGGGGGAACGCGACACAGCGCTATCCACCGAATGCGGCAAGGTGGGGAAAAACGACCACGGCGCTGGCGCCGTGAGGATCGCCGATTGGAAGGCCCCGCCCCATATCGCTCAGCAGGTCCAGTCGGGGTGTCTGTCACTGTTCAGCACGTCCCCGCCCAGTCGACGGCCCTCCGAAATCTCCACCCGACCTCCAGGTCGGAGCTAAGCTCCGGGCTAGCGTGGGGGATTGTTCAAGGTGCGCAGCAGCGCGGGCAACGACAGCAGAGCAAAATGCTCGCGCCTCACTGTAGAAAAGCAGGGAACTTGGAAGTTTCTTCGATGATGATCCAACTATTAGTTGCTGCAAATGCGCGCTGCAATCTTTCGTGTGCCAACAACATCCATCTCGGCTCCATACCTGAGCTAACACGGGCATCTAGTGGTGTCTTGGTGCTCAAGTTGACCAACCAACCGCATGCGATCGAGTTGTCACTCACGCCGACCAATCTTCATACCCATTCCGTCTAGGTACTTTACCTTACAAGCCAACGTCGACGAGCCCACTTCCGTGGTTTCCATCAAGTTTGAGGGGATTGTTTCGCGATTAGGGACTGATATTGCGACACTAGTGACTGCCACAATTTCCTGCCCCACGACTTATCCAGATCTCTAACCTGGAGCTGTTCATCATTGATGTAGCTAATCGTCTAACGGGCACAAGTTCCACATTGTAATACTAGGTATCGAATCGGTATCAGCTGCATAAACGTAACGTCACAACACTGTACATTGGTCAACGTCGACCGGGTTCGTCAACAGCTGTCAAACACTGGGACCGTCACGTTGACATGTGAATTTGGCACTTAGGGACATGAAAGTAGTGTTGAAATCATCCGTTTTCATCAGACTATGGTACTCGAAAAGACATTCGTTTCAGGCTCTCTCTGTCCTGTAGCGCACGAAGGGCCACAGAGCCTGAAAATTCCAACGCAGCTTCTGCGACAGGCTTATTGCCGTAGCGTCTAGAAGCGGGTATAATGCAAAAGCGATTTAGGCAAATCGTCATCATCTTTCAGTCGTTACCTCACTCATCAAACCATACACTCAAGCCTCTGCCTTGCTATATATAAAGGCATGCTTAACTCCCCAACCAAAGCCGGTCGGTGTTCGCGCCTACGCCCATGGGGCAATAGGATTGACCTCCCTGCTGCCTGCCGAAGATTCAGAGGAAACAGAGCCTGTGATTCTCTCACAGCCGCCAAAGGCTTGGCGAATCTGCTTCCTATTTGCGAACTTCTTCTTGGCAATCGTCTCAGGATCCGGTCCACTGGAAGGCTTGATGGCCTCTTCGGGAATTGCTCCGATGGGGGCGTGTAACTTCGCGCTGGCCTCGGGGTCGTTCATTGCGATACCATGTTTGTGGTACTCTTGTTTCTTGAGCTGTTTCCAGTCTTGAGAGGATGGCTCGCCAGTGCTGAACCAGTCTTTAAGCTGGCTAACCCAATGATTCTTGCTGTCCTTGGGTTTGGACTTTTCACTCCGTCTCTTCTTGGTGGGACTTCCACTGACACTAGCTGTAGAAGCGCTGTATTCGGATGTTTGCGAATGGTCGGAGAACATGCGTTTCGGAGGGGACATTCTCAAGTCCATCTCCGAGATTCTGCGCCTGAGGCCCATCTCGTCGTCGTCTGAGAGATCGATCAACGTTCCTGGATGGTTGTCTTCTTCGTCTATCGCTAGCCCGATTCTATGAGAGGCTGTTCGCGTGTCGATTTCAGCTATTCCTGAGCTGGATGCTGGGCGAGGTGGGTTCGGCGGGCGCAGGTGAGTGAATGCAAGGTCGACCGACTTGGCGAACTTGTGACCGATAACAAAAGCGCGTTTCTGAGGAGACACCTGCTTGGGTGGGCTTTCAAGGACAGCCTGAGCTGGCGGATGAGAAATTCGATGTTTAGTGAGAGAATCTCGATCAAAACTCTGCGGCGAATTGCTATTGATTCTTGGCAGTTCTTCGAATTCAGTAGTCTTTCTGCTTCTCTGTGGTGTCGAGATTCCGAGGAGACTTCGCCGTTTCTTTTTCTTCTTCTCTGGAATCGGCCCCTAGCCGTAGACAAACGCCTCTGGTCCAGTATCAAAAGTGTAAGGCTGTGGATCTGCCGAGGTTTCGACTGCTTCTTCCCGTATGGGTCTTTATGATGAAGCCCAGTAGAATGGGGGCTCGGTGCCACCACTGGATGTGGATGTGTGTGCTTCTCCAAAGCCGGCAGGAGGTAGGTTGATGCCTGGCTGTGTGGCTGAAGAGATGAAAGGTGCCGACGGTGATTGCAGGGCCGCGGTTGGGTATGAGAAGTTCCGAATGGGAGTTAAAGGTGCTGGTGAGTCGAAGGGTGAAAGTATGTCTTCTTGAATGGTGACAGACGGATTCTTCTGCTTGTTTCGATGTCGATGGAAGAGCCGCATTGTTCAGTGGGAGGAAATAGACTTGTGAGACTGCTATTCAAACAATCGGAAAGACACCCGAATTCCCCAGAATTTTTAGTAGATGACACGATTCCTTGATAGTTGAGGATGGACAGCGTTCCACGATTTCCGTATAGAGCGAAGTTGATGGTGGCTTGAAGGATATGAACATGTGCGGAAAAGATGTAAAGGAACGGTAGAGTTTGATAACAAGTATTCGAGGCGAAGGAGTCCAATGATTTGGAACAGGGTAAGGTAGCGAGAGGTTGTATGTCCAGTCGACTTGAGGCAGTGCTGGAAAGAAGAGAAAGGAGAACAGGCGGACGAAAGGTAGAAGTAGAGAAGATCAGCGGAGAGAGAAAGAACGACCTCGTGGCAGTAACGTGCAAATTGACGCCGGCCCAAAAGAAGCGGGAATGGAAGTACGAGCTTGGGACGGAAAGGTCTCAGAAGCCATGCACGCTCACTCTCTCGTGCTCTTGCCCCGCTCGTGTTGATTACCTTCCCATGCTTTCCACAAGAAAGAGCAGGCGGACTGGCTTGGCCTGCACCTTCCATGTTTTCTTTTGGTGGATGCCATGCCTTGTCCCGCATGCCACCCCGGTGTTCAGCACCTCGTGCCATTAGCTCCTGCCGTGTCGAGGGCAGAAAGAGCGAGGCATCACGGACACCATCCATCCGACCCTGGTCGTATGCCAGCCTTGCAATACGACTGGACGCCACTATTCACTAATCATACGCTAATGCCAACGTTGGCAAAGACTGTGCGGTAAACCGTAAGAACGACGTTTAGTATTCATTGTTAGGGCACCCTTACTGAGTGAGTGACGTCTTTCCTGAGGTGACCACTCTAATACCGCGGCATCGTTGGGCCATAGTCAGAGCCCTTGCCTCAATCTGTCGGAGGGCTGGGACGATGCAAGGAATGGGAGTTCCACTGTCTGACAGCTCGGTCGACCGTCGACCTAGTCATTCCTTGAGTGAATGTCTCGTAATGTCTCAGGAACCAACCCGCAAGATTGGCTCAGCAAAACCAAGTGCTAGCCCTTTGACGGCGTTCCGTTTCTTCCTTTGTTGATTATCTTAGGTGGGAAATGTGGTGCTGTCAGCGTGAAAACACGGCTATCCCAGCGGTCTGGTACAAGATCAAGATCCATCTCACACACTTTAGACTTCCCGTATCGAGGCGCAGCATCCTTTGTTTACTGGACGGCAGGTTGAGGGGGCCCGTTCGTGCGGCATTTGGCTGATGGGAAGGCGGAGAATGCTCGATGCTCGCCGACACAAAACAAAATGAAACGAAACCTTCACCGATGAGGTTCAGTATTGAAGACCGACCAAAGCCAAGCCAGGAACCGGCAGGTCATTTGCGACTAGTTTTCTTTATTTGGGGTTGTAGTGCTGGGCAATATCGAGATTTCGATAGCGCGAGGGCTGTAAAATGGAAGAAGCAAGTTTTCCTGCTGCAGCCACAATCTGATGTATCACAGCTTCGGCTTGAAGCCCACGATTACCGTCCCTCGATCCGCTGCACCAGACGTGCCTCCTAGAAGGTTACGTCTTCTAGTGGCCGTCGGACTTCTCACGAATCTAGGCAAGCTCGGGAACTGCCTATGGGCTGTGCGAGAGTACGGACGTACGGCAGAACAACGTTGGGCGGATGTTCGGAAGTTCTGGAAAGCTGAACTGCGGCTAGACTTCAATCGCACCAGTTCGTTCTCGACGTCATTGCTAGATGATCGAGATTGAAGAATACGCTCTTTCCTCGGACTCAAGCTGAATGCCCATGGTAATTCTCTCCGGAAAGAGGTTCATCGTCGATTCCTCCATCGGCAACTCCCCTCACAACAGCGGCTGAACAGAAATCTCGGGATGTCAACCAATCACTTTTAGCCCACCTCCTTCTGCACTTCGGACCCTGGCGAAAATGGATGAGGCACTTGGCACGTGCACGTAGTTACGTACTCCGTACTGAGATGTAAGGTAGGGAGACCGTGCACCGCCTGCCTCGGCGGCGTGATTCAGATCTTGACAATCTTCTGCAGGCACCTAGCTCTAATCGAGCTTAGCCAGTGGCAAACCTGCATTTGAACGTCGTCCTTTGGCCGCTGTTTCTATTGCCCTGTCTTGCATCCAACCTTTGGCTTTGGAATCCGTTGAATGAATCGGGCGGGCTGCAGAAGTAGGTAGGACAATACCGGTACTTTCAACAACATCAACAACACCAGTAAAGTCAACAAACAGAAACGGTCGCTTGGCGCGCGCACTTTGAGTTCATCCGACTTTCACACTTCCGTTGGCTGACGCAACCCGCCTGACGACCGCGTCGCCTAAACCTGGAAGCTTCCCACAAGGCACACAGGCACCCGCTTGAGAACCACAGAACCTGATTTAAGCTGAATGCAGCCTTCCCTACACGGCGCTAGCATCCGAAGCTGACAAAGTTCCCGAGCCATCTGCACGCGCGGCACGCCAAACGCACGGTGCACCTTCAGCTCCGATTGCACTCCCGTTCCCCCTCCTTCTCAACCCCACCACGAGACGAGAGACATTCCAACCTCTCAACCTCCAATTCTCTCGCTCACACACTCAGACGCCGACCACAAAACAAACAAAAAAGAGTCACCGCTGCTCCCGAGAGCGAGCCGCCAGCCCTCTCCCCCACCATGCCCGGCCTTACGATACAAACAGACGCGATTTCGCCGCGCACATCGAATGCGCCGGTGCTGGCGCCATCTACGTCTGCGGCTGCTGGTCCGACTGCTGCCACAACCTCTTCGGCAGGCGGAATAAACCCACCACAAGCGCAGCAGACCCCTCCGCGATCCTCTCGCTCCTCCTCCCCCGCCCGGCCCCCCATCAGCCCCATAACCCCGACCCTCTCCCCGGCCCGTCTACCGAATCCTCCCGCCCCTTTCGCTGCCGACCGCCCAGTCCTCACCCACTCTTCCCAGCCGTCCACCGCTGCCGCTATCCCCCCTCCGCGTCCCGAGCCCATCGACTTTGATTCCAATCCCGATGTCCTCGCTCTCAAGTCAGCCATCTCCATTCTCCAGATGCAATCAAAAAAGGCCGCCGCCGATATCCAAGGGCTCAACGCCGCAAAGAACGCCGCCGTGGATGACCCATCAGCGTTTCTCGCCGACCTCGGGGCAGGCAAAGTGCACACACAAGGCGACAAGCTGTTTGCCGAGTCCGACTTGGACTTGGACGACGAGACAGAGCGCAAAGCAGACGGTAGTGCCGCGCAAGGCAAGGCGAAGGAACCACCACAGCCGTGGGAGTCTCTCCCCAAACCCCAGAACGTGGTGCGCTGTCCACCCATCAACTGGTCGCAGTATGCCGTCGTCGGCGAGTCGCTTGACAAGATTCATGCGGACCAACTGGCCAGACCAAGCCAAGGCGCTCCGGCAACGTTGGGACCCAGCGGGACATACGAATTCAAGGGAGAGCCTGGAGGTAACCAGAGACCTTTCATCGGTGTCGCGGCCCCTTACACACCCGGGAAGGACAGGATTGAGAAGAAGGCAAGGGGAGGCAAGCGATGAAACATCATGTTTCTTCCTTCCAGAAGATTTTTTTAAAAAAACAAGCCGTTCGAGGCAAGGTTGCTGGAACAAACATCCCGGAAATGGGTGTATGATTGATGCTTCCCTACTGAGGTCATGAGATTACGAGGCGTTATGCATGAATGGGGTGCATGGGAAGGAAGGCGTTTTGATGTATTAGGCCAGAGCCTCGGTTTCAAAGAAGAAGAAAACAACGATATCAACTTCAGAATGTAGCTACTTTCGTCGCGTCATTATTCGAGGTATCTACTGGAGTCTAGCGGGACAATCCCAAGCCCGTTCCTGATATGCATGATTCCGATGCCGTTAACGCCGTCCGGACCATTGAAAGCGAGTTGAACCTGGACGAGCCGAGATCAATTTTTACTACCGTCCTCATTATGACCGAAAAAAAGAGTCGATCTTTGTACCGAAATGGTCGCGTTGTAAGCACAAGCACACACATCATGATATACCTTAGCCTGAAGGTGGTTTTCAGACGCAATATCATAAGTCACTGTAAAGGTTAGCTCAGGAACATAGGACAAAACTTTGAACAACTTACTCCATGCTCTGCTGCACAGATCTACGGAGACGCCTGTTGTAGTTCTTCCGCGATTCGGCGCCTCCCCAGTAAAGCGTATGTGCTTCAGGGTGTACCAAGGTTCGAGGGTCGTACGCCGGATCTTCTTCCTCCAGGGCCGTGAATACAGCCTCGATGTGAGTCCGAACATCCTCTTTCCTCAGTGAGTTTGGGAAATAGCAAACTGTTCCGTCCTCTGCAATGCGGTGGTGGAAAATGCGTGTGTGAAACTTGACCCGAGGTTGCTCCTCGGGGAACTTGGTGCTAAAGTGGATTTTGAAGCGAAATAAGCCGCCGTCAAGGTTCGTCATTGGACGTCCGAAGTAGGTAATGACCCAAACGAAAGGATTATTGTCCTCCAACTGGACATCGTGGGGGATGTCTTGACGTTTGAACGCCTGCACCACTTGTTCGTATTGGTGGCGCAAGTTTACAGAGAGTGTCATCTCCTTCTCGATCGCAATCTCGCCATCCTTGGCCCACTTGACGAGCTCATTGTCGAGAGCAGCCTTGACATTCCGCAGACGTCTCTCCAGTTCTGTGTAGTTGAACTTGCCGTCCATGGTGTTGCTAGCACCTTCAAACGGCATGCGCACAAACGCCTGGTGGTCTCTGACCTCGACCTTGGCCTTTTGCACAGCAAGCAGGTAATTATCGTAGTACCATAGGAACCGCCGCTTGCATAAATCCTTGAAAGGCTCGAAAGGAACGTTCGTATCGTCCATATCCTCGTTGTCGGTATCCAGCTGGTCTCCGTCTGCTGCGGACTGTTGGGCAATAGCGTTGCCGTCGGGTGTGAGACCAAGGTATTCCTCCATACGCTGGATGACGGAGATTCGAAGTGTTTCGTGACGTATCTGCGGCAAGGATCAGCCCCGTTGTCTCACATCATTCCAATACACAAGCATGTCTGTCCACCTTTTGGACGTAGTCCTTCTGATTCTTCTTATCCGATGCTTCATTTGCCTCCTCGAATCCAGGCTCGTTCTCGTAAGGATTTCCGGACATTAAGCTCTGGATTGAAATGAGGATAGATTCGAGGCCTTGTGCTGCAGACCATTCCTCTCCACGCTCTCCACGCCATGTGCTAGATCCTATTAGTTAAAAGTCCCATAGTAACTCCTATGCGCCTGGTTATACCCTAGAATGGACCTGCAGAACGTTAGTACTCCTTGTGCCCAGCATTCTGCGATGTGGAAGGTAAACCTACAAGCAAACCTTGCCGGATGAGTAAATGTTGGGGTTAAATCGGCATCGGCCTCCGTTCGTTGTAATACCGTTGACGTTGGGCGACTTCCTAGGGTATTCTATCTGTGCGTTAGTCCAAACCACACATCATTGCCACGTTATGGAAGAAGCGTACCCTTATTGAATCTGATCGCAAACTGCTTTCCCGTTAGCACTGCGTGGAAATCGGGCACTTTCAAAGCAAATTATTACCTCAAAGAACCCAAACTCGTAGGGAGTGTCGTGAGGTCCGATGATCAAGGCCTTAACATTGCGAACATCGACATCGCGACAAGCGACAGCTATGGCTAGAAAGGAGGTCAGAAAATTGATTCGACTATATTCGCGGAGAGGCTCGTACAGAGATCCGAGGTTCGCTGGATGTCGCCGAGTTCCTGTTGTGCGTTCAAACGTCAGCCTTGCGATTATAGCCCCTCCTTCATCGCTCTGGTGAGGGGCGGGGCAGCTTAGGTACCTTGGTAATCCGAATAATGGATTGATCCGCCATGATGCCAGCTGGGTCAGGCGCTGCCCCTTGACAGTCAGTGGGCGTGTGTGGCAGATGCTTGGTTGTAGGCCGTGATCGTAGATTCTCCTCGCCGTGGGGTAGGTAGTTGATGGAGAATCGAAGATGTGAGTGCGGCCTGAGAGCCTGGGAGATTGGAAGATGTCAGGTCAGTAAAGCGCTCTCTGCGGCCGGGCAGATGCAACTTGGGTTCTGTTGGTTGTTCGGTTGGTGGTAGGAAACCAGGGTACGGAGGGGGGTAGGTCAGGTACCTCAGGGTACAGATGGCAAGCACCACAGGGCATCGGGGTGGTAGAAGTACTTCCGGGCGATACCTTCGGGACCGGTACTAACTTCAGTTGATGGGATGCTGGCGAGGGACGAGGCAGCTGCACTAGGTGCCTAAATTGGCAGTTTGGCGGGGCAGGAGGGGTAATTTTAGCGTGCGTTGATGCAGGTGAATCGCAGTGTTGTTCTGTGGTGAAGGGGCCTCTTTGAACTTCACAACTAAGAACTCCTTTGAAGCCCCACAGCGCAAAGTGGTGCCTTCTATTCTTTGATAATTTGATAAGGAGTTTGAGAGATGCTACCAAGTTCCAAGCCGGGGGAATGCCCACATGACCCCTACCTTACCTCAGGCTTATATGAGATGTGGCTGAATGAGATGTTGATTGTCACACAATCACCTTCACTAAACTGAGCCTGCTTTACCAGCAGAAGACTTTGATGACATTGGCTGGGGTGTGGCACTTGCTTTTGGCGGCGGGTGTTCACTCATTTATTTGTCAAACGGTCCCTTGCCGCTTCTAACCGTTCACATGTTATCTCTGACCAGGTGTGGCTCTTGACAATATGGTGAGTTCTTACACGAAATCTAACATTGGACACCATCGGGTCCAAATCGGATAATGCTTCCTTTTCCTTTTTCTCCCTTCACAATATCGTTGTCTCATGTATAGCGACCCGAGGAATTGCCTCGAATTCCGCTGTGCTATCAAAGTATCTGGATCCTAATGGTTGGGAAAACGGTAATGCGATGACCAGCTTACCTACTTCCCGTATGATTGACAGGAAACCTCCATGTCTACCTATCCGTCCTAACCTCCATAATCTTCATTTTCTAGCCCAACGATCTGCTTTGATTGAATGAAGAAAGTGGGCGCATGAAATGAAGTCAAGCCAGTTTTCTCATGTAGAGATGTCGAGTAGGGTCAAAGTTGTGATGCTCACACGTACCATCGCTTGATGGGAGTAAAATAGGTAGGTAGCTTCAAGGTTAGAGTGATTATCCCGGTTCAGACAGCTTTCGGTACGTATCTCATGTAAGGTTCCGAGGGTACCTCGAAAGTGGAACGGTCGCGGGGTTCTCTCGACGCGGTGGATTTACACCCCTGTCCGCCGAGAAAGCTCCAACACGCGTCAGATCGACTGGGCAGCGCGTTTGCTAGTTTAATTGATTTTCTTCGGTCGTCACCACCGCCACATACCTCAGGTACACAGAAGAGCAACGAATAATTGAAGACGACAAGATCACACGACCTCCAGCGACAACAATTTGATCGAGATAGACATCAATCGCACATGGCGAGCTTTTTCGACCTCAAGGCCAGGAAGGCCGCCGCTGCAAATGGCACGTCGACTCAGAAGCAAGAGAAATCTGTGCAGCCGCCACGAGCACAGCCGTGGGTCGAGAAATAGTTCGTCTTTCCATCATGGAGTCCCAGAAGTCGTGCGCAATTGAAGCTTCCATACTGACGTGCACCGATAGCCGTCCCAAGACTCTAAGCGATGTCACAGCACAAGACCACACCGTCACGGTTTTGCAGAGAACGCTGCAAGCCTCCAACGTACGACTGCTCGCTGATGCATTGAGATGTTGTTGACCCGATATACAGTTGCCGCACATGCTCTTCTACGGTCCACCAGGAACAGGAAAGACATCTACAGTACTGGCTTTGGCTAAAGAACTCTACGGCCCTGAGATGATCAAATCGCGCGTACTCGAGCTCAACGCTTCCGACGAGCGTGGAATCTCCATCGTCCGAGAGAAGGTGAAGGACTTTGCTCGCATGCAGTTGACGAATCCGACGAACGAATACAAGAAGAGATACTCTTGCCCTCCTTTCAAGATTATCATCTTGGACGAGGCTGATTCCATGACACAAGACGCACAGAGTGCTCTGCGCCGCACCATGGAGACATACAGCAAGATCACGCGGTTTTGTTTGATCTGCAACTACGTCACGCGAATCATCGATCCTCTTGCTAGTCGTTGCAGCAAGTTCCGCTTCAAGAGCTTAGACCAGACCAACACAAAGAAAAGATTAGAGGATATCTCAGAGAACGAGGGCGTACAGCTGGAGGATGGCGCAGTGGACGCCCTTATCAAGTGTAGTGAGGGTGACCTGCGAAAGGCCATCACATTCTTACAGAGTGCTGCGCGGCTAGTGGGCGCGGGCGAGAAAGATGCTGCCGGCAGTGATGCAATGGATGTCGACAAGAAGCCCGTCACGGTGAAGATCATTGAAGATATCGCTGGCGTCATTCCTGACAAGACCATCGACACATTAATCTCCGCCATCCGCCCACACGGCGCTGGCGACACATACGCAGGGGTGGCCAAGGTGGTCGAGGACATGGTGGCAGATGGCTGGAGTGCCGGACAGGTTGTTACTCAGGTAAGCTACCCCCTGATTCTTGAAAGCCCGTGACAATGCTGACAGATTTCCAGCTCTACCAAGCACTCGTTTTTGACGAGACAATTCCAGACGTACAAAAGAACAAGATTGTCCTCATCTTTTCCGAGGTTGACAAAAGACTTGTGGATGGCGCGGACGAGCACTTGTCTATCCTTGATCTGGCCTTGAGGATATCGGGGGTTATGAGTGGCCGTGGCAACTAATCAGTCCTCGGATTAAGCGGCGTCTGGTTTGGCAATTAGAGGCGTTGACAATGGCAAAAAATCCGATCTATGAGGGGTATGTAACAACTGTAGAGACCCATCAAATATGATCTTCATGACCAATGAGACCAAGCTTCCCATCAATGACAGACCAGATATCGTCGTGCTTAACCGTGGATCCCTTACTCTGATGTCTGATGTGCTGCCTCATCCCCGGCTTTTCCGACCCTTGCGTCAACCATATATCTTCCTCCGTCGTGTCTCCCGCCTCTATCTCGGCCTTTTTCGGCTCGTGACCAAGAAGCCTGTCAACTTCCTGAAGCGCCGTTGTAGAGCCTTCCAGTGCGACCTGGCCTTCCTCGATCTTCTCTGCAACAACCTCCAATGTTGCAATCTTGGCTGAGTCCGCCGCGAACACCCATGGCTTGACTCGGTCTGACGGTACTGGCTTCTCGGCCATAGCCGTGGAGAAGTCCTCTCCAAACCCTGACTTGGGTCTGCCCGCTCCGGGCATGGGATGCCCTGGAAGAAGCTGGCTTTCTTCGGCGAGATGATCCAGCGTCTGTCGAGTCTCTCTCGCCTGCTTGGCCAGAACAGTGTGAATATGCGACTTTTGGGTGATCATCCCCTTTTGTTCTCGAGAAAGTGAGAGAAGCTTCTCCAGGTAAGGCAGCAGAAGGTGAGCAGTGGGTGCTGGGGAAAAGGACTGGCTTGGACCAGCTGTTGATGAGGTTTCGCCACCAGGCTTCAGGATTGGCTGTGTCTGCTCTGAGACGATACTGAGTAGTACTTTCCTCGCAGCTACGTATTTGTTGTACTTGCTCTTGATTCCGCCCAGATGCTCGTCGATAGTGGCCTGTTCAATATGCCCGTTATAACCATTTGCCCGGTCGTCTGCTTCCCCTGAAGCCTTACTGAGCTCCGTCTCGATCCAGTTGATTAACTCAGCCCGAGTAGCATCCAAAGCATGCGCCTTTGCCTCGTCACTGACTTGGCCTGCCAGGGATGCTGTGTTTTGTCGAACACCGTTGAGGAGTTGCTCTTCACGTTGGAGCAGCAGTTTGGCTCTCAGCACGACTTTTTCGAGCTGATCAGCCAGACCTCCCAAGTTCGTCTTCGTTGTACTGGCGCTGACAGAGAAGCCGTTCACAACCTCTTTTGGAACCTCTGGTAAAGACATGGACTTCCTGAAAACATCTTCGAGGTCGAGAAAGTCTGGTGATGCTGCCGGCTGGCGTCCCAGTAGATCCAAGTACTTCTGAACCGTCAACAATCGCTGTTGCTTCTGCCGTAATTTGACGAGGGCCACATGTTGCTCAATCTGGTCCCTGGGGTCGACAGCCTTTGGCTGCGACGGGGCTGCCGTTACGGCTGTATCTCGAGTGATTTCGTACTCATTGCGAGCCTTGAGGTTCGCATTCAAAGCTTTGAGATACTCCTTCTGTAGGCCTCTAACCTCATTCGTTGGCCTCACCCTGCGAGAAGCATCAACAAGAGACAATGGTTCTTGAATCGGCCCTGGTTGACGGCAGGCCTGAAGATGAAGGGCCAAGACGCGCCGGATGTATGCTACCTGCTCCCGTGGTTTGACGTAAGGTTCAAGTGATGCCTGAACCTTCTGAATGTATTTGGGAACTGGATCCATGTCGCCGAATGCCCGAGGCTAAGCCATAGAGAATTTTCAGTCGCGCCAACGAAGGATGATTCCGCCGGATCGAATTTTGGCCTCAATTCTTCCTTGCGCGTGTTAATGTTGATGATTGCTGGTGCTGTGATTTACACAGCTCAGTGGTTCAGGGGTGGTGTGGATTTCCCGGGCGTCGCTTCTCCACCCTGTGTCGATGCGGTGACAGGTCGGCGCCACGACGTCACGTGCAGCTAGCTGCCTGAGCTGGAGTGCCGCTAGCGCGTTTACCGCTTAGCGCCGTCTCCTGGGTTTTGCCATTGCAACCAGCAGATGAAATTTGTTCCGCGCGACAGGCGTCGAGACATCTATTACACGCCTCCGCCCACCTTAGCCACATCGCGATACTTTTCTCATTGAGTCACTTGAACTTCGGGAACATACCAAATCGATACTGTAATATTGGACGAATCATCATTTTCAAGGTCAACACGGCGTTATAAAAGGAACAAAGACACGGCGCGAGCCGCTCGCTGCTGTCGATCGACAAGCTCCTGCACGAATTCGATCATCGGGCGCAAACGAGACTACACAATACCCTCCAATCCATCGCCAAAATGTCGAACCAGGACCAACACCGCGATGTGTCTCAGTACAAGTACTCGGCCATGTCCAACCTGGTCCTCCAGGCGGACCGTCGTTTTGTTTCAAGACGAAATGATGAGGCCACAGGCGATCCCGAGTCTCTCGCTGGAAAGCTGAGTATT